TTTAGAATCAATGACCACGCGAGTGCACAAGAATCCCTATGTAAAAGTGAGACTACCATCATAGCCAATATCATAGTTCAGATTGGTACACCTGGCTCGCAGCGCGTTCCTTTTTCCGAGCTGCGATTTATTTTTTTCCCGCTGTTTACGTTTCCCACTTTTTCCCGTGTCATGTGCGCTATACCCCGTCCCCCTTAGTCGATGGCGGTTTTTGTTGGGAAATTGGAAGAATAGGAAAGTTTGAGAAGATGGTAGGTAGAATGGGGAAGAGGAAGTCGTGCTGACACCGCCATTTCACACATCAAAATGTTATGCCCTGCGTCCTTCCCCCGCCCCCGCCCCCTCCCATCTTGGGCCTAGGCAGGGGTCTAGAATTTCATTGAAGTCTTGCTAATGCTCCCATCCTGTCCCTTTCCCAAAGTTACGATTTTTCTCTTGGGGTTGCACTAAATGAAATGTAGCCTGAGTAATGTTATTGCCATATATCGTGCATATGTAGCTAGTAATGTGGGCGTTAGTTTTCATGAATTAATCCCCTTTTTTCTGTTTGCCGTCGTGTAGCTCCGCAAATGGCAGCGACACTTATGACTAGCGACCATCGAACGTTCAAGGCAGCTGACTGCAACAAGGGGCGTTCGTCACGAAAACAATGAAGAAACACCATTGTCTACTAGTGTTTTTGAAGAAGCTTTTTAAAATTACTGCAGTTCTGATATTTAGGAGCCTACGGTGAAGTGCACTTGATCAGCAATCCTTTCAATCGAAAATACATCCCAAATGATGTTATTGCGTTGAAAGTCATCGATCTTGAACATAGACGAGAAGGATCAAAACAGAAATTCCGAAATGAAGTGAGTAATCCCTTGAATTTGTGAATTTTAATACTTTGCCTTTTCATTTCTAACAATTGTTACATGCGGTGCTGCAGAGTGCATAATGCGGCACCCATGGCAGGAGCGATCTTAGTTGACCAACTTTACTCGTTCTCGTTGCTCACGAAGACAGAGGTACCCTTTAGTATTTCTGCTCTGTCAGATAGGTCTAATGATATTGCTTTTTGTTTGGTTTGACCCCATTTTGAATGTCAATTAGGCGAAGAGCAACCAAGGCACAGCGTATGAGTGGAACTTCTAGTCAGAAGGCCACTAAAGGTATAGGGCACGATAATGGTACTCGGCCTTAAATGGTAGCAGGGGTGCTATTCAGTGGGAAAAGACGAAAAAGCGAAGTGAAACGGTCAAAAACCTGCGAAAAAAAACCTTTGTTCTACACGATTCAGAGAGCGATTTCGCACGACTTTCCAGTTGGCATCGTGAAATAACCGCCACAGCAGATACGGCTGGATGTAATTATATATCCATGCAGCAGTGCAGCTGCTTCATATCAATCCCTTCGCTTCATATTGTACTTCGCAAATGAAGCGATACGAGCACCAGCATCGGTCGGACATTTGTGGGCGGGCGAGCGCGGTGTGCGCCCGGTCAGTATGTTGCAGGTAGGGCGCTATAAGGGTACATTCATTGGGAAAGGCACCACGCGGCGCCTGCTCAGGGGCGCCGAAGTCTGTCCTGCTACGCGTGTTAATCCTACACGTCTTGGGGATTTATCGTGCCACTTGCCTTTAATGTGTTCAGGAGACGCGTGCCATTTGCAGGATTTAGACTTGGTGAGAAACAACTAGTGGTTGTATTTAAATGTGTTTTGTCAACTAAAGAGAAAGAAAGGTCGAGCTAATGTTCCACTTTCACGCTGTGCGCTGAAAAGCATGAAAAATTCTTCGGAATGGAATCATATTTTCGCTTTAGGTAGCACTACAGAATGCGTTAAGTCCACAACGACATCCGAATATCGTCCAATGTTTTGGATCAAATTACGAACTAGAATTGAATCAACTACAGATTTTCCTCGAATATGTCAACGGAGAAGATTTGCGGACTATTATTGGTGAGTGCGAGCGTTAATCGCAAACCTATTCTTATAATCAGTAGCGGAAAAAAACTGTAGGCAAAGCAAAATCCGCGCTTTTAAAAGAGTATACGAATTTTTTCGATGTCTGCACAGACAAAATTATTTTAACCAAATAAAAGTCCAGAGAAAATATAGGCAGATTTTTTGATTGTTTACTGTTTTGAAAACCAAATAACCCATATAACTAATTGGCTTTGTTCATACTTTGCATCAGCGTATCGTGCATTTCTAGCGCGCGACAGCGTTTTCAGCGGCTTTGGCTTGTTTGGGCTGTTTGGCTTGTTTCGGGTTACCTTTTGCTAACTTTTGTGGCTTTGTCACTGCTGAAAAGAAGCCAATTAGATCAAGTTTCCAAAAGTCACGAAGTTTTAGTTTCACAGTGGTTGTGCGATCCCCTCTAATCTATATTACGTAGAGAGATACGTCTTGTTCAGATTCAAGATATCACAGAGGGTTTGGAGTTCGAAAAGCACGAGATTATTATCGCCAGCTGATGAGAGGAGTGGATTTTCTGCACAACATTCGAATAGCACATCGAGATCTTAAGCCAGACAACTTAATAATCAATAGTTATGGTGGGCGGCCAGCTTGAACTATCGAACATTTCAAATGTAGTTGTCTACAGAGGAAAATGTAGGGAGCTTTGCAGGTTTACTAAAGATCACCGACTTTGGTATGGCTACGAAATTAGAGGTGACCCACACTAACGAAGAAGTTCCATTGGATCGGATGTGTGGCACTCGTGATTATATGTCACCGCAAATGTTCAAAAAGAAATACCTGTGAGTACAATAAGTTTTTAAACATTTCTAAAGTATCTGTCATTTCATGAATGGGCACAATCAACCTTTTTACGGGTTCAATACGAAATATACTAATATCTTTTGAAATGTCAGCCTTTTGACGCGAAAGAGCTCACACCCGAAAGAAGTACATAGCTAATGGAGATGACGAGTAGGACTTGTACTTCATGTACACGTACTTTGTGCGATAATATCGAGCAAGAAATGGTCTCAGGATATCTGTAAACTGCGGAACCCCCTCCTCCTTGCTCTCTCTACCTCCTTTCTTCCTTCCCTTGCCTCCTCTTAATTTGCCTTCCTTCAGGTGCTCGGCCAGAAGCGATGAGAAAATATTTCTGGGCTTTTATAGCGAGAGAATATCCGGTTGGCAGAAGCCCCGTGACCGCAAGGAATGCTCCTTTGAACCACTGCAGAATAGAGGCGGATAGCTGGCTTTATC